TTCCGGGGGCAGATACTTCCGTATGCTCAGGACCATGGAACTTCAACTTGGAATCCGGTTCTGCGCCGGATCCGGCCTAGAGCCCGGAGTGCGAAAGCCGCGCTCCCGGCCAGGTCCTCCCAGGTCTGCGGCCCTCGCGCTCGAGCCCGCAGGGCGCGCTGTCACTGCGGAGCCACGCAGGGGAGGTTTTGTGGATAAACAAGAACGTTTGTTCTTTTGGTTTTACTTTCTTTATTCTTTTGTCCCCTCCTTAGTCTCCCTCCTTGCTCTTCTTTCTGCTTCTCTTAACTTTTCTTCAGCCTCATTTTCCCTTTCTTTTCGTTCACTTTTCTTTCTCACCCTCTGCGCCGTTCTTCTTTCCGGATCTCCCTCTTTTATGCCTGCCTCTGGGTCCCGCTTTCTTTGGGTCCCCCGGGCACTTTGCCGTCCCTGGGCTAGGGCTGCGCCGTCTCCCTGCATCATTTTTCCTGACTCCGCCGCTCTTTCCCACTTTTTCGTTCTCCCGGCGGCCCCAGACTGGCGGACTTGGATCCGGCTCCCCCGCCGCCGCCGCCGTGATTTATTCGCCTCAACCGGCGGAATCAGGTGCTGAACCGAGCCCCTGAAGGAGGGGACAGATTTCTCCCAGGAAGGGTTTTGTGAACTAAACGATGCTAATTACAGGATGGGGGACGCGCCGCTTGAGGAGGGGAGGCGCACCGGGCGGAGCGCGCCTAGCGAGCAGAGATGCCGGGGCCCGGCCGCTGCCCTCCCAGGCCGCCTCCCTGGTCTCCTCCCCTGTGCCTCTCGCCCCGGCTTCGCGCGTCCCTGGGAACTTTCCTGTCTGAGTTAACTATTAACCGCGGGCAAGAGGCAATTTTCATTGGAATTCAGCGATTTCCTTTTCGCAGTGGAAGCAGATTAACATGCAAATGCTGAGATGTTCGGCTTGAGTCTGCGCGCGGGCGAGGATGCCTCTGCCCCTCCAAACAGTGTCCTTCGCGACGACGGAAAACTACAGCTCCGGGCCCCACCGCCCCTCCCGCCGTCCACCTCCCCGCCGGTGCACGAAACCGTGACCAAGCCAGTGCCCGCCCGGTACCTGGAGTGCAGGTGGAAAAAGCCGAACGCTGGTGTTTGGGGGCGAGGTTGAGGGGAAAGCCTAACCGGGGCAAGCCCGGGGGAACCTCAGAACTGCAGCTAGGTACGGCCACCCAAGAAGCCCTCGAACAACACAGCCTGATACCTACTGGGAGCCCCGCACACGGGGACCCTCTTGGAGGCGTTGGCAAACTTAGAAAAAGCCGTTTCCCGCCTGCAGAACCTCCCAGACTGCCCCTCACTTCCTCCCCCTTCGCCACTGCCAGAGACACACACCCTGCTCTGCTTTGTGACCGCTGCAAACTTTGTCAAACTTGAGCCGCTGGGCACAAACTCCTGCCTTTTCCTCCTTTCCTTTCTTGCCCGGGCCGCTCTTCCAAGAGCAGGGCGGGAGGGGTTCTCAGCCTCCGGACATGGGAGAGGACAATTTGCACAAGTCCAGGCCTCACCTCACTGGGACATTAGACCCTGGCCACCCTCCAGGCCGCGGGACACCCAACTCGGTTCACCGCGGAAGGCACTGGTGGTTGAAGTGGGGAGACTTGGCAGGGCCCTGGCTGACAGCCCCAAGGTTGACCAGGCCAGGCCTTCCCAGGTGCTGGCTCCAGCCTCTCACTATTGCTTCTGATCTCGCTGGCTTTGGAGCCCAGTTTAGGGCTGCCAGCCCCTCAGGGAGTCATCTCTGTGTTTTCAGTCTTTCCAGCTTATTTTCCCCCAGCCCTGGCCGGGGGTTAGTTCTGTCCCTGCCCAACTTGCCAGCTGCGTCTTTTGTGGGGCTGCCTCTGTCTCTCCTTGTCTCTCTGTCTCTGTCTCTCTTGTTTGTTTCAATATGCGGACACTGATTGCGCCTTATGAAGTTCTAACTGGTTTTGTGTCAGGAAGATCTTTCTCACTGCTACCCAGCCTGGCGTGACGGATTAAACATCAACTAGTTAAATAAAAATTAATATCAACTGCCTCCTAACTTCTAATGTCATGTTGTTTATAACTAATGAACTGATTAGGGGATAAACACATCACGGAGACATTCAGCTCTCCTGCCCGGGCTCTGCGGCTGCCTTGTACCCACTCTCCAGCTTGGCCTGCTGGCTGTGAGGCCAGAAAGAGGGTGGGGGCTGGAGACCTGTGAGCTCCCCCAGGCTTGCTCCTCTGCCTGTGTTGGTCTCTTTTCTTCTTTCTCTCTTCCTTTCTTGTTCCCTTAAGTACATTTCCTTTTCTCAATGTCTCCTCTTTCCCCCTTCTTTCCTTCTCCCTCCTTCCCTTCCTTCCATTGTTCTCTGCAAAGGACAGTCCAATGGACTATCCCTGGTTGTGTATGTGTCTGTCTGTCTCTCTGCTACTCTGGTTCCCAGGCCCCCCTTTCTCTATGGGAGTCTCTACCTCTCCCTTCCCACTTCTTCCCCCTCATTTGGATTCATCCCTCCCCCAGTGCTGAGTGTGATGATTAAAAGTATCCCTGTGACTGAGCTTCCACCCTGCTACAAAGCAGGAGGCTGCAACCTCTCCCTCAGCACCTTGTGAAAGACTGACACCCTCTTCCCTAGGGGAAAGGGGAGAGAACTAGAGTAAGTGGGGTTGTGTTTTCTATTTCTTCAGTCAGTACGGAAGGGGAGGGAGAAAATAAAAGTGATTTTTAAAACTTTTGCCTTTCTTCTTATTTGAGAAGCAATTAATACAGCTTCAAGTTCTAAATTTAATTTTCAAAGAAAGAAAAACTGCTCTGGTATCCTTCCCCACCAACCACAGCCCACCCCTGCCCCCCTGGAGCTTCAGAGGCCTCTCCACACACACACACACCTCACCAGCCAGCCCTAGCCTGACCTGAGCAGCCTTCTGCAGAGCACTTTTCCTCAAGATACTTAAACCAAATCACAATTGTCATCATGACAACAATAAAGCAAGAAAGCGAGTAATCACAGACCTGGCCCCAGTGATTTTTTTTTTCCTAAGAAGCCACAACGTTTAAACTTGGTTTGCCCCGGACCACAGGGTCTGACAAGACAATAACAACAGAAAAGGCTTTTAAAACCAATTTAGCACATGTGAAAATGTAATTCTAATGAAGAATCAATAGGCTGGCGGATCATTTTTCCTGGGACTCCTTGGAGAACCTGAGAGAGCTTTCAATCAATGGGGCGGGCAATGAGCAAAAGGGCCCTAGAGACAGTGTGGGACAAGGATGAGGACTGGGAGACAAAGAGAAGCATAGCCTAAGAGAGAAGGCTGGAGGGAGGCTAAGGTATGAGAGCGGGGCCCTTTGACTGGCATCACTTTGCAGGCTTCCAGAATCCCCAGGGCTTTAAGAGTATCAAAGACAAGAACTAGGAAAACTCCTTCCTCCTCTTGGTCCCTCTGATATGCGACAGGCTGCTTAGCACCATAGCCTCAGCTGCCTTCCCCTGGGCCTAGGCCCCAGCCCTGGCACTCTCCCAACCATGGGCCCTGTGTTCAGGTAACTGTGACAGCTGGCTCAGGAGCAGGCAGGGACTCTGGGCCAAATGTGTTTGTCCCTAGTTCAAAACACCTGGTTTCCCAGTGGGTGCCTCCCTTCTTATGTGTGTGTCTGGAATGGTGGGTCTCAGTCCCAGTCTCTGATAATGCAAGAGCAAGAGCAACGAATGTGTGTGTAGTCATACTTAACATTTTATAAATCACTTCCCCACAGTTACCTCATGAGAAACCTCTAAGCAGGGCATGGATGATTACCACTATTTTAGAGGAGAGGTTGGAAAAGCACAAAGTGCTTATGCAGTGAAGGTGTGACTCAGCAGGTCATGACCCTTGTGTATGACTAGGTGCAGTTCTGAGTAGGTGATGGAGCAAGAGGCTAACTATGTGTGTGACCATCTCATGTGTGTAAAATAGTGACCACATGAAAGTGTGATTTGGGTATGTGTGTGACTAGGTTCATTTATGCATCTTGCTCCCCATCCTTGTCCCTTAGGCATGTTGCTCTGTGTATAACAAAAAGCAAAACTTTTTTTTTTGCTTTTAAGTTTTTGTGTTCTCAGAATGGCAAATCACCACTTAGGTTTTTTTTGTTTTTTGTTTTTTTAAGAAACACCAGCAAAGTCTGATGTTTCAAATAACAAATATTGGTAAGGAGATAATTTGACCGTGATTTTCCTGAAAGGGTAGAAATTCATGTTCCTGTAGGAAGATCTTTTAGAAACTAAGTTAGGGGAACATGATATAGGTTTTGCCTCTGGGTTCCTGTGTGCCTCCAATCTTGGTTACACAATTTTTCTAGAGGAACTTCAGCTGAAATATGGAACTCCCAGTGAAGAACTTACAGTTTCTAGCTGTAGTGGGCTCAGTGGGCGGGGGACCTGGGCCCTGCCCCTTGCCTTGGGGCCTTTCTGCCTGGGGCCTAAAATTGTGTGTCTATAAGATGTGCCCCTGCCTGCACACAGGACATACCCAGCACTTTCCTTGATGGCCTGTCAGTGTTACTCAGCACATGTGAGCAAGGCTGTGTGAGAATACAGGAAGGTGGGTGTGCTATCCTATAAAGTGGGGGAAATGAGAAAGGGATATATGAGGGTAGAAGTAGGTGCAGGAGTGCTCAATAGTGTGCAATTGTGTAAGATGTAGGTGTACACATGAGAAAAGTGGTGTGAGAGGTTTGAAAATTTGTGACAAAGGTATGAGAGGTATGATGTGGGACAAAGAAAAAGTCAGCATTGGAGTGGGCTGAAAGCATGAGTGTGCTTGGAGAGGGTGTGAATGGGAAGGCCCAAGAGGCCCAGAATACCATGGAATGGTGTGGCTCAAGTGGCTGACTGTGAGTTTGGGAAGGGTCTGGTCATTCTCCCATTCCCTGGGCCCTCATCATCTCCGTAAGGAAAGGGAAGCCAGGACTTTCTGCTTTTATTCCAAATTGTTTTGTTTTAATCCAGAGCAGGAGAGCTTGTGAGGGATTTAGGGAGCAGTTTCACAGTGTACTGGTGCCAGGGACCTCCAGGGAGAGGCTATGTGGCCCAAGTAAGTTGGGGTACATCTGTAGGTATCTTGGAATTTGAGGCTGAGAGCAAGCTTTTGGAGCCCAAAGTTCGAGAAGGTAGTATGCGGCCGGTGCTGAGAGTCGTGGGGTAGGGGGACCGCACAAAGTTGGATAGTGCGTGAGTGAAGACGCCCCAGCATGAGAGGCTGTAAGGCTGACACGGGAGCGTGTGACAGTGAAGAAGAGTGGGTGGGGTGAGAGGGTGTGCTGGCGTCTAGGCTGGGGATTCGGTCTTTGGGTGCCTCCGGCAGCGCGGGTGTCGCCTTGCCTGCAGCTGGCGCGGCCTGGGTGCGTGTGCACGCGTGTGCGCAGGGCGGAGAGCTTGGGGCTCCTCTGCGCGTGGCTGTGCCTCGGCGCGGCCGGGTGTGTGAGCGCCGGCGCGGGCGGAGCGCACAGCCGCGGCGGCGGGCAGCCTGGGTTATCTGAGCCGCTTGGTCTTGGGTGGCTGCGCCCAGATCTTGGGGTGGTGGCGGTAAGGACGAGACGCGCTGTCGGGCCGAGGAGGAGCCGAGAAGTGAGACCCAGGCCGAGACGGCTGCGGCGGGGAGCTGAACATGGAACAGCGTAAGGGCCGGGCAGGTAGGAGCAAGGAGCAACCGGTTAGGGCCACAGGCAAGTGGGTGGCAAAGGAGAGGGATGGGGGCAGCTAAGCGGAGGGCCGGCTCTATTACTCTTTCTGTACTGGCCGTGGGCTGAGGGGTGTGGGGGCACTGTATCGGCTGAGCACTGGGTGTCTGCGGCCTCTCCCCACCACTGGGGCCACCTGGGTGGTATTTCATAACGGTGTCCTCTAAAAACTTTCCACCCACAAAATGTGAGTTTTAGAAGTTTTAGAATCTCTCTTGGTTTCTGTGCAGAACCTGGCTTTTCCTTTCTGCTGTGCCTTTAGGGCTTTATCTTTCCACTTTTCCTCAATGTATGAATATTTTGCACAACTTCTTCCAAGTTGGGAGTACTGAAAAGGCCCTAGTTCCTAGTAGGAGAAGGGGTGGGTATGTGTGCATGTGTGCTAGTGGATGGGGACACGCTGTGTGCACATGTCTGTGTGCACTATGAATCAACATTAACCACTGGTGGAGATGTGCCTAATGTGTGGAAAAGAGGCTCTGTCCCCAAAATAAGCAACTCAAGGGAGGCCTGTGGCAAGGGAAGGGCTGGCAGGCCCCAAGGGACCCAGCGAAGGAGAATCTGAAGCTGTTTACCCAAAGAGCTAAGGCAGTGGAGGGCTGCTCTGTCTGGTTTTCCCCCCCTCCCCACTCTCCTCCAGGCTCACCAACTCAGCTGTCTGCCCACTAGGTGCTCTGGTGTAGTATAGGGGCGGGAAGCCAGAGACCCGTTTAATTTTGGATTGGTGGGAATGGAGGGGATTGGATCAGATTTCCAAGAGTTTTCCAAATAACTCCACAGAGCTCAAGGACTAATGCCAGGCTCTTTTTTGCCTCACTCCTCACCTTTCCTAAATCTCCTTCCTCCCCTCCCTTCCCATGCCCCCCACCAGCTCAGGTTATAGTTCTTTCAGCTGATAATCCAGTTTCCACCCTCAGTATTGTCCTTCCTCTGGTTTCTTGGCCCAGTCCAGGAGTATCTTCATTCCCACTTGAGGGCCTTGTCCCCTCTAGGGAATCTGGGACCCCAGGAGCCCCAACTCTGGCCTCCTGGGCTTTTAGGGCTCTGGGCTACCCCTCCGCACCACAGGTTTAAGTAGGGGGATCAATAGCAAACAGTTGTAATGATCTAATTAATTATGGCAAAATTAAAAGCGAGTACAAAATCAATCTCTGATGGTGTTGAAGATAGAATTCAATTGAGAGCCCATCTGTGCACCCCCTCGACCGTATAAATATGCAGCCCAAGGACAGACCTAATGGCTGGGCCTTCCTGGGAACCTCTCTCCCCCTTTTTCCTTTCCTGCACAGGGCTTCTCTCTCCCTGGCTCCTTCTGAATCTAGTTTGCCTCCCACCTTCACCCCTCCTTACTTCCCTGTCCCATCTGCTCAGGCGTCCAACACCCCCACTTTTCTATTTTCCCCATCTGAAGGCAGCTCTCTCTGCCTCGCAGGCGTAAGGTTTGGGACCCTGGCTATTGACCGGGCAAGTCTCCCAGAAGCAGCAGCCAGGCCTCGCCCCAGCGTCTCTTTGGAAAGAGAAGGCGCAGCAGTGGAGGGCATCCTTGAGCTCCTGGCAGGGCCCTCATCCCAAGTTTTCTGGCGCTTGATGATACTACAGAAGGGACCAGGGTGCTTATCCAGGGGCGCCTGCTTCTACCTGCTCCTGGCCGAGTAGCCACTGTCCAGGCGCACAAGGCAGAGCCACCAGGAAAACCAGCTGCGCACCACACTCGTGTCCCTTCCTTCCTTTTCTTTCTTTTGCAGGTGCGGGATCCCACTCCCGCCAGCCAGGGCTTGAGGAAGGGTGAGGAGGAGCTGCGGGGCTGGGCAGGAGGCAGCGTTGTGTTTGAGAGGGAAGCCTCCGTTCCCTTCCAGGCAGCCCTACCCGGCGCCGGGTCTTCCACCCTTCTCCCTTTCTCTTTTCACTAACCTCTGCCGCTCCTCTGCTCTCACTTCTTCCTTAGACACATCTGGTTGGCTCACAGCTCCCAGGAGACCCCGTGTCCCCCAGACGGCCCCCGCCTCCCCTTTGGCCCCATCCAGCTAGTTCAAAATGACAGTAATACACGCGTGCCAGAGAGCATGCCTGGCCGACTCCCCGACTCAACCGCCGCAGCCGGGTTTGCGAAATACGCGGGTTTGTAGTCTCGCGAGCCCGTTCGGGAGCAGCGAAAACCACCAGGAAAAAGCAAGGGAAAGAGGAAGGAGAGAGAATCAGCAACTAGGTCAATTGTGGTCTTTGGCCATTGTCATCTGTAACCCCAGAACCATAAAAATAAGGCATTTATTTGATGTCCTTCCTTTTACTGTGCTGGCCTGTTCCATCTGGTTCTTTGGCTCCCTGTCTCTGGTCCCTTCCTCTCCTTGCTGGGGCTCTGAGCCCACTCTCTGGCCCACACTAAGTTCCCAGGTTTCTTGCTGCCCTCGGAGACCCACTCCCTGATCCTGCCGCTGGGCCTCAGAGCCTGGGGGAGACACAGCCCCAGCCTCCCCACCTTCCTTTGCCAGGCCTCCTCACCCCTTTATTAATTGCTGTGTTGACCTACAGGATTGATTGGTGGTCCCGTTTGAAGAGGCTGCGGAGGCCTTGGCCTCGGAGTAGCTTCAACGGAGGTCAGAGGGAGGAGGAGGAGGCGAGGCGCTGGACATAGGTCCTGACTCCTATCTCAGCCCGGCCTGGGACACAACTGTTTGCCTACACACTCTGCTCCCTGCCCTCTCACACACACTTTTACACACCCTCAACACACACGCACAAACTGCCCTCACCAAGAGACATTCAGCCCAGAAAGAGTGCCGTCCAAGGAGACACATCAGAAATTTTCCTTAATTGATTTAGAAATTGAAAGAGGCTTTCTCCCTCCATTAGTCAGTTTCTTCAATACATTCGTTAGCCCCGGGTCTACACCTCATTGCTGGGCCAGACATGGCAGAGCCAACTATTAGGTCCCCGGCTTTTTTCTGTCTGAGATTTACTTTGCATATTTTTCCCCCCAGGAACAGTTTCAGAAAGTTAAGAAATAATCCTGGATGCTGGTAACCCTTAAAAATCTCAAACCAAAGCGCTTTTTCCAGAAAGAGCCCTTACCCTGGCTCCTGGGAAATTCGGTTCAGCCCTTTTGTTCCAAGTTTGGGGATGGACAGCTCTGGACCATGGAGGATGGAAGGCGGCAGCGTGCAGGTACTCGAGGCCGGGGTCTGACCCTACAGCAGAGGCTCTCGCCTCCCCTCACCGCCCCTCCTTCCCTGCCTGCCTGGACCGAGGCACGTGGACACACACACACACACACACACACCACACACACACACCACACACACACACAACACACCCCTGCACCGACCCCAGACCCCAGGCCCCTGTCCCACACACACCGAGCTGGAGTGGGCCGGGACGTCCGGTCTCCAGGTTGGAGTGGGTGGAGGAGGCGGCAGGAGTTACGAACGTCGCGGCCGGTCCCCAGAGAGACCCCTTTTCCTTGGTTATCTCCCTGTCTCAGCCAGCCCTCTGTCGCGGTTTGCCCCGCTCCCCTCCGCTCTGGTCCTTTGTCTCCAGCCACTTAGCAGCGCCAAGCAGCTTGTCCCCCGCCTTGGTGGCCCTGCCCTTCGCTTCCCTTTCTGGCCAGCGGGTCTCCCCAGCCTTACCCGCTCCCGGCTCTGGCGCGGTCTCCGCCTGCTCCTCACATCCACAGCTGCGGTGAGAGGAGGAAGGGAGGGCGGGCGCGCCGCGGATGGATCCGAGAGAGTGGATTTGGTGCTTGCTCGCAACTCCGGGAAAACTCAGCCCGCCGGGGTGCTCCCGCCCCTTTCCAACTCTTCCTCGGCAATGCGGGGCCGCGCGCCCTGGCCCGCGTTTAGCCCCATTCTTTCCTTGTACACTGGCAGGGGCCACTTCGTCCACCCACCCCCCGGCCTGCCCAGCAGCTGGAGTCGCGCTCCCCCTGCCCCTTGCTACCGTCAGCCCCTTCCTCCAAAGCACCCTTCGTCGTGGTGGCCGTGGGCGATGGCGCTGGGGAGGACCCGGGCCCGCCAGCGCTGTCCGCCTCCAGCACAGCCAGGTCAGGCTGCGGGCTCAGGGTCTGGCTGACACGAGGGTTAATCATTACTTGGTGACCGATGCTCAGCCCCGTTGAGATTCTCTCACCGGGGCTTGGGGAGGAAGGACAGGGGTAGTTGGCCCAGTGGGAACCTAGCTTCGCCCAAACCAGCCTCGTCAGGCCTTGAGGATTCAGGTCTTCTCCGTTTCCTCAGAATCCTTTTCACATCCTTTTTCTCCTCTTCCTCTCTCTTCCCGCTACCACACCTCCCCTTTAACAGGTTTCTCCCCTCCATCTCATCTCTGCTCTAGCTTTGGCAGGTTGACTGCAGGTCCTAGGAGGACCAACATTCTTTGTTTGGAAGCGACTGGACGGGATTTCCTTCCCCAAGTCTCCGCCAATGGGCCAGCACCTCCCAGAGGTTTTGGCATACTGGCCGGAAGGGGACATCGCCTGAGGCCACAATTAACCTGGCTGTTGGTGGTGGTGGTGTGTGTGGAGGGGGGCCGGGTTTAACTGCTCCTCAAGCAGCTGCGTTGGTGCAGTGGGGGCGAGGGTGCTGGAAGAAGTGGGTATGGAGGATTGGCAGGAAAGATAAAAGGCAGAGTGATAAACGTGGACCGGGTGCGGTACAGTCAATAGAAAGAAGAAAAAAAAAATCCTGAAAGGGAGGAACACAGGAAATGAGGTGGTGAGGAATCCTCTTGTTACCTGGAAAACAGCACTCCTTGCCCTGCCCAAGTGCCCAGAAACCGGACACTTATTTCATCATCTATTACAGAAATGTTGGTTTTCAAAATGCCTCCCTATTGGCTACCTTCACAGAGTAGGCAAGAGAGGTAATCATCCCTATTTTACAGGTGAGAAAACTGAGGCTCAAAGAGGCAAAGGGACTGTGCATGTGGTGGCTGCTGCTTCCTCCCGTGGGCTTTGGGGTGAGTGGCCCCTTCATCTGTGCAGAAGTCCATGAGTGTCTGGGGGTGGAGGGCCAGGCTGTGTCCAGGTCCCAACTGGGAGTGCCAGGACTTCACTGGGCCTCTTGCTTCCCCCCACCTCCTCTAGCTTATTCTCTGTTAGATAGGGCCCTTCACTCCTACACTGTAGACCTCCTGGCCCAGTTTCTCCTGCTTTGACTATTTTTTCTGCTCCCCAGTCCGGTGACCCACTGGTGGCAGCCACCTGGCAGGCCCGTGCCGCTAAGAGGCCGCTTTGGTGGCCAAGTGGCTTGCATTGTCGTGTCCTCTCAAAAGGGCTGCGGAGGGCCGGGCAGGTCGCTGGGACCTCTTGTGAAAAGCCGGGCTAAAGGGGGAGGGGCAAGGGAGGATAAAGGCGCAGCACGTGCGCGCGGCCTCCGCAGGACCAACAGACAGAGCGGGCGGGGCCAGCCCAGAGTCAGGTCCCCCATCCCCCGGGCGTCACGCAGGGCGCCCAAATATTGGGAACAAAAGCGGAAAAAGAGGAGTGAGAGCAGGAGGGAGGGAGGGAGCAAGGGAGCGAGTAAGGAAGCAGAAATTAGGGGGGTCTCGGATGAAAAAAAAAAAAGAAAGAAAGTAGCTTTAGGGGGAATGTGCCGTGGAGTGTGAAATTGCAGCCCATGGTGCTCCATATTGTACCAGAAGCTCTTCCAAAAAAAAAAAAAAAACCATCCTCCAACGTGACCAGAGGGCTAGGAGGGGGGAGGGGCGGGAAAGAATGGGGAGGAGGAGGGGAAAGGGCCGGGCAGGAGCCGGGCCGGCTGAGCCGGGTAGGGACCCGGGGTGCGCTGGCGGCCTGGGATCTGCTGAGAGTTTGCGCCCTAGGATGCGCCAGGCCTCTGAGGGTGAATGGACCGCTGTCGTCCCGGCAAGGGTTGTCAGTCGAACTTTTCTTTTTTCTTTTTGTGGTGGTTGTGACTTCCAAAACTGGGACTAATACAGAAAAGGAGCTCGGCTGGAGAGCTGCTGCTTTGGCCTACCCTCCTCTTTTCCCTCCTCCGTTTCTGTTCTCTTCCCTTTGGACTAGTTTTTCCCCCCTTGGTTCTAAACAGCCCCCCCCTGCCCCGAACTTTAATACGTTTAATTTGGTCCGCGCTGTGGGGAGCATTTCCTAGGGAGATACATTTAATTTAGGAATTTCTAATCCCCTCCCTCAGAGCCCGGGCCCTGGCTCCCCTTGCCGCTCCCCGGGAGGTGGAAGGAGTGGGAAGAGAAAGGCAGGCCCAAGCCATGGGGGAGGAGCATGGCTGAGAGGCTCCAGCGCCCCCACCAGGCCCCCTGCAGCCCAGCCGAGGTCCGGTCCGGGGGCCTGGGCCCTGGGTCACGGCCTTGCCTGTGGAGGGTGGCACCCACGCCTCTGCCTTTGCCTTCCTGGAGGAAAGAGCTGGGCCAGAGAACTGGAAATCAGAAACCCAGCAGAAGGGTGGTGCAGGGAGCTGGTGCGGACAGGGGCTAGAGAGCACCTCACTTCAGTCACAGTCACCCAGAAACGCATTTGAGCTTGGAGTGCTCATAGTGTTTGGCTTGGTTTGGGGGCCTATGAGTGTGTACCTGTGTGTGGTGGGGGTATGGATCATTGGGGATCACTGCCTCTTGAACACCTACACCCACTCAAAGCAGTCTGGGGACTGGGGGAGCCAGGCTGGTCGCTGTTCCATAGTGAGAAAGGAGGCAAGGAGGGGGACCTCTGGGCCCCAGGAGAGCCTGGCAGGGAAGGGAGCAGAGAAGGCGAAGGAAGGGAGATCCACAAGGAAGATTTATTGGGCAGATCAGATGCACAGAGGCGGCTAATGAAGCAAATCCCGAGATGGGTATCAGAGCAACTCCCCAAAAGTTTATTTGCCTTTAAATTTCCGCAGGGAGGCGGGAGCCTTGTTTGAAGTGTAAATGCCCCTAGGTTGGGGGGTGGAAGGGCTGCTTTGAAAACACCAGAGAGAAAAGGTTCATTTAGAGGCAGACGGGAAAAGCAACCAACCCTGACAGGTCGTAGCCCGGGTTGTGTTTGGGGTTGGGTTGTTTTCTTTCTTTCTCTTTTTTTCTCCTCTTTCCTCTTCTTTCTTCCCTTTTCTTCCTCTCTTGCTTTTTCTCCTCTACCGGACTCTATAGGAGGAAAAAGGAAAGAACAGAAAAGGGGGCATTAGAGGGAAAGGCCATCACCTGGAGAGAATCTATAGGCCAGCCCGTCAACCTGGAGCCTTAGGAGAAGGCAGAGCCTTGGCTAAAAGGGTTTCTAAGCATCAGGGAGCATTATTCTTCAACTTTCTAGAATGGGCTAGAGCTAAGAAGGAAGGAAGCTGCCAGGGGCTCACCTGGTGGGAGGGTGAATGTCCGTTTAGTGCATTGCAGGGGGTCTCAGGAGTGGGGAGGAGGATTTCAGGAATTTCAGGGGCTACCTGGGAATTGGACTATCATGAAACGGTCTTCACTCTTCATAGGGTACATATGAAATAAAGGTGTGTGACTAACTTGCAGCACACTTTGTGCATTAAGTCCCCTTCTTTACAAAAGTAGAAATCCCTCTTGCCTGATAATGTGAAAATGTCTGTTGTCTACTCACACTTCATATTATGTGTAAGGATATGTCTAGCTGGTTTTAGAAAAAATCTGTGAGTCTGTGTGTGGAAAGGAGTTCTGCCCAGTCTTCTTCCTCCAATAGTTAAGACTCCCCCAGACTTAACTTCTTCCATCCAACTAGAGAGACCTGGGGGTAAAGGGCTCCTTTCTTTCTGAGCTCCTCTCAGTTAAGGACCCTTCTTCAATGCCACCTCCCCACCTCAATTCTGGGTTGACATTCTGAAGAAAACCCAAGGGTGTACCAGCCACGACTACCTAAGAGCCTCTTGCTCGCAGGTCTGGGAGCCTTTCTCTTTACGCTGCACACTTTTCCTCTTTCGCTCCCCACACGAATTTACGGCGTGTTCGTGGGGTTGTGAGCCCAAAGCAAACCCAGGAGCGCCATCTGCAGGTCATGAGAGGAAGAGACTGACCTTCTGGGCTGGACCCTGAGCCTTCAGCCTCCTGCCCAAGTAAAGCACTCTGGCGGCCCAGGGGAAGTGGTGGGTGGGGGCTGGGAAAGAGGGTAGGCGGCGAGGGTTTTTTCCTCCTCACAGAAGTTACTTTGCAGGTGGATTAAGCGGATCAGGCTCAGGAGGATCAAGGAAGAAGGGCAAACGCCAGGATTCCAGCAAACCGACCCTAAGAGTGGGAGGCTCAGAACCCTTCAGGGCCAGGCCTGGCTCGAGCCCTGCCGAGAATTAAGGGCGCTTCTAAAACCCGGGTGCAAGAGGCCACCTCTTGCCTGATAATGTGAAAATGTCTGTTGTCTACTCACACTTCATATTATGTGTAAGGATATGTCTAGCTGGTTTTAGAAAAAATCTGTGAGTCTGTGTGTGGAAAGGAGTTCTGCCCAGTCTTCTTCCTCCAATAGTTAAGACTCCCCCAGACTTAACTTCTTCCATCCAACTAGAGAGACCTGGGGGTAAAGGGCTCCTTTCTTTCTGAGCTCCTCTCAGTTAAGGACCCTTCTTCAATGCCACCTCCCCACCTCAATTCTGGGTTGACATTCTGAAGAAAACCCAAGGGTGTACCAGCCACGACTACCTAAGAGCCTCTTGCTCGCAGGTCTGGGAGCCTTTCTCTTTACGCTGCACACTTTTCCTCTTTCGCTCCCCACACGAATTTACGGCGTGTTCGTGGGGTTGTGAGCCCAAAGCAAACCCAGGAGCGCCATCTGCAGGTCATGAGAGGAAGAGACTGACCTTCTGGGCTGGACCCTGAGCCTTCAGCCTCCTGCCCAAGTAAAGCACTCTGGCGGCCCAGGGGAAGTGGTGGGTGGGGGCTGGGAAAGAGGGTAGGCGGCGAGGGTTTTTTCCTCCTCACAGAAGTTACTTTGCAGGTGGATTAAGCGGATCAGGCTCAGGAGGATCAAGGAAGAAGGGCAAACGCCAGGATTCCAGCAAACCGACCCTAAGAGTGGGAGGCTCAGAACCCTTCAGGGCCAGGCCTGGCTCGAGCCCTGCCGAGAATTAAGGGCGCTTCTAAAACCCGGGTGCAAGAGGCCCACTAGGAGTCTCTTGGCTGAATTGGGTGGGTGCAGCCCCCATCCTGGCTGCCTCCTGGGCTCCCGCCACCGGGACAGCGGCACGAGTCCGCGGAGCTTCTGCGGACGCCTGGGCCGCCAGGAGCCAGAGGCGCCACGAGCCCGGGTGGCAAGAGCGTATGCGCGGGCTTCCCTGAGCCGCCCTTCGTAGACCCAGGGAAGCGGGAGGAGGGAGCTAAAGAGGAAGAGAGAGTTAAAACATCAGCTGAAGTGCCAAGATGATTTATGAGACGAGGGAAAATATTTCATAAAGATTTCCCGGATATTCTGTACTTAACCAGTTAGGAGACAAAGAGCTTCTCCTGCCTGGTGCTTGCGAGCGGACCAGAGCGGGCGAGAGAGCGAGTGCAGACGCGGGCTGCGGAGGCTGGGCCACGGCTCCGGTAGGAGCGGGGCCAGGCCGAGCGCGCTGCGCCTCCTGCGCTAGCTCCCGATCGGCGAGCTGGCAGCGGGCGGCGCTCAGCCCCGTTCGCAGCCTCTTCTCCCCAGCCGGGGAAAGCCAGCCTTGGTCTCCTGTCCTCTGCCGTGAGGGACCTGTCACTCTGAACTGTCTCCCTCCCCAAGCTCTTCTCCCTGGCCACCCGAGGGTCCAGGAGCCAAGTCCCCGGGCTGTCCCACCATCCGTTGTGTCCCACTGAGGCAGGTGGGTCCTCTTGCCGGAGGTCTCCAGCTTCATTCTAAACCGGGCGTTCTGTGCTGCCCAGACCCCGATGGACAAGGGGAAAAGGGAAGCCCTATGCGCAGCCGCGCGTGGGACTGGAGAAGATTAAATGCCTGGCACTTGCCCCGGAATGAGAATTGGGGGTGCCATGGATGGGGAGGTACCTCAGGAGGGAAAGGCTTAAGGGGAGGACTAGAGAGAGGAAGGAAGAACCAGGAAGGAACGGAAGGGAACTCAGCTGAGAGCAGGAGGGTTAGGACTAGGGATGCGGACCAGGCTCGGGGCCGTGTGGCCCACGCGGGCACTGGCCGGTGGATAGGAGGGGGCTTTGCAGCTTTTAGAGAGACACACACGGGGAGCCAAGGCTCCAGTCTCCGGCCGAGTCTTCTCGCAGCCGCAACCTACCTGGGGCCAGCCCAGTGCTGCTGCGCCGTTCGCCTCCCTCCCTCCCTCCCGGCCCTTCACCGCGGCAGCGGGCATCTGCCTTTTCTGGGGGCGGGGGCCCGGCTAGCGCTCTCCCCTCCCGAAGGCTCCCACTCGGACATCCCGGGGATTGCTACTTCTCTGCCAACTTCGTCAACTCACCGGCACTTGCAGCGGCCCGGCTCCCCGCCTGGCGCCCTGGGGCCGCCCCGCACCTCGCCCTCTCCGACTGTCTTTCGGATGACCGGGTTCCACCGGAGCTGAGCGAGCCGTCTCCCCCGCCCAGCCTTAGCTCTGGCCGCAGCTGCCTCTCGTGCCATGCGCCCCCAGACCCTCCCGGCCCGGCCCACCGCCCCGGGGCCGTTCTGCTGACCGGCGAGCCCTGCGCCCCGACGGTGGGAAGTTGCGGCCTCAGCGGTTGCAAGCTCCGGCCGACCGGGAAAGAGTCCCCGCGGGGAGCGCAGCGCGGCGCCACCCGCCCGCGCGAGCCCCGCAGCAGCAGGGCGTCCGCTCACCACCACCCCCCTCCACGTCCCTCCTTTTTCTCCTCAAGTCCTGAAGTTGAGTTTGAGAGGCGACACGGCGGCGGCGGCCGCGCTGCTCCCGCTCCTCTGCCTCCCCATGGATATGCACTGCAAAGCAGACCCCTTCTCCGCGATGCACCGTGAGTACCGGCGCCCGGCTCCTGTCCCAGCTCGGGGCGCCCTGTCCCAACGCTATCCGGTCCTGGCGCGGCCCCGGCCCCCAGTTCTCAGGTCCTGTCTTGGAGACCACGCTGGCTTCTCCTGACCACCCCTTTCGTTCTGTCCCTTTCCCTAACTCTTAAGTGTTTCTAAAAACCTCCAGTTTCTCTCCATTCTGCCTTGTGTCACCCATACTCCTTCTACCTTCCCAGATGCCCATTACCTCCCTGCCTTCCTTCCACCTGCTCGTTCTTAGGTGATCGATAAATAGACCCTGCCTCTGGCTCCAGCCACCCTACTGCCTGGTCACCGTCTTGCTCTGGGCTGGGGGACTAATGGGCAGGGAGTTTTGAGGGTTTTGTGTTGTGTTTTCTCTCTTCTTTCTTTCTCTGTTTGCTTCCCCCCACCTCCCCTCATCTCTACCTTTCCCGAACTTAGAGTGTGTTTGTTCAGGAGGAGACTTCTAGGATGGGCAGCCTCTGTCTCTGGACAATCAGGCAGAAGAGTGTGGGGGTGGGGTGCCCCCTTCTGACCCTCAGCCTCTAGCATCTCCAGGGCCTGCCAGCCCAGCCAAGGCTTCTTGTGGACTGGTCTGAAATACTTCCTTCCTTTTCTTTCTTACCTCCCTTTCCTCTCCTCCCTCTCTTCTCCTTGAGTTGGAGTCTGAGATTGGCAGAATGCGGTGGTCATCTTTCTCTGCCTCTCCCTGGGAGATGCGTTAAAAACAAAGAGGGGTTCCAAGGAGAATCAAAGTCAGTGAGGTCGTGTAGAGGAGCCTTCCAGCAGCCCATGGGCATAGCAAAGCTCTGCTTGCAGTTCTGGGCGCTCCTTGATGGCCTCCCGATCCCTGGTGAGGATGGTCCAGCCTGTGACCTGGCCAGGGAAAAGGCAAAGAGGGAGCAAATGCTGAGGAAAGAACAAAAGAAAGGCAGATGCCAAAGCTTGAGAGAAAGGAGAGAGAAATCAAAACAAGCGGAAGGAAATGAAAGAAAGAAAAAAGAAAGAATGCTATAGGAAAAAACAGAAGGGGAGAAAAGTACTGAAAAAATAGGAAAAGAAATATTTTAATGAAATTTGAATTTATCTAATTCATATCATGTGTCTTTAACTTGGGAAACAATTCAGAGAATTTTTTTCAGGCTTAAAAAAAGATAGATTGTAAATATAAAACTTCTCCCTTTTAGACTAATAATTAAGGATGATTTGTAACTTTTCACGAGGAAAGTTTTTAGATCTGGCTTGGATCTGTGCTTCCGACCAGAGATGCGAGAAGGGAGAGCTTTTTTTTTTTTTTTTTAAGCACATATTTAGCCTTACAGGGGGAGCTTTTAAAAAATACCCCTGGGATAAAACGTATTTCCCTAAATAGTTCCCAAGCACAGGAAATCCGAGTAAGGGGCCTCGGGCTGTGGCGACTCTCCATGAACCGAGTAAGAAATCCGGTCGCCTTTTCGGCAGGAGTGGAACCGGGTCCACACACGCTGCCTTTGCCCAGCCCGTCGGCCTCCCCGCCAGGCTGCCTCTGCTCTTGCTCTCTTCCCTCGCTGATTCCGCGGCCGATCTGCGAAGTCTCGGCTGCCCATTGGGTGCCTCTTTGAAACCCAAAGGGAGCAAGGCGAGCTAAAGGTGGTCGGAGGGAGAAACCACCGCGAGGGCCGGCGGGCTGGCGGGCTGGCCGGCAAGCAGCTGCAGCCCGAGTCAGCGCCGGCAGCAGTGGCGCATTCCAGGCCCGACCGCGCGCGGCTCCCGGCCCCCCGCCCTGGACTCCCACCGTGTCCCCTTCCCATCCCCACCACTTAGATTGGGGACTAGGGGCCGGGCCCGAAGCCCGGGGAGGCTGAATTATTCATCTTTAATCTGCCCGCAGCTGCCGCCTTTTCATACCGGTAACGCGAGTTCTCCCGGGGCCTAAATTATTGATGGTTGGGGTTTGGAGGGAGGGAAGTGGTGAGGAGTGGGGCTAGAGGTAGTGAGACTAAGGGGAATGTGGGTAAAATAGGAGGTTCCCGCCTCCCCCAGTCTCCAGATCAGAGGCTTCTCCCCAGGGGTTGCAGTGCGCCCTTGTTCTTGGTGCCCCTAGAAGGGGACTAGAGAGAAATGAGCCAGGCGCAGATGTCCCCGCTTTCTCCGAAAGTCGCCTGAAGCTCGCGTGGCAGGGACTGTAGGTTGCCGGCCAGCTCCGACCGGCGGCTAGAACTCTCGGCGCTTGGATTGCTCAGTAACTGCGGCTGCGGGTTGATGGCTCTGGGTGCAGGATTTCTAGACTGCTGTAGGCTGGGGAGAATGGAGCGCTGTGCAGCGCCGTCAGGCCTGGCATCCAGTGACCACCTCAGCTCTGAGGTTGGGGACTGCACTGGAGTCTGACTGGAGACCCAGAGCCCTCCTTTTGCCAGGAGAACAAATGCCCTTGCTGTGGGGTTTCCTGAGAGGCTGCGGAGGTCTACGGAGTCAAAGGGACACAGCTGGCTCGGGCTGGCTGCACAGGGTGCCCCGTAAGCTCTCAGCCCGCCTGGGCGACCTGTACCATGCCACCTGTGTGAGGTGGTGGGCTCCAATCCTGGCGCAGCGTGACAAGCCCAAGCAGCCTGCACTCTCTGGCTGCCACCGATCGCCGCATCGCTCTCTGCTGCCTCCCTTTCTCCGAGCACAGTAGATTCCGGGCCTCTTCAGTCTTCCTGCCACCACCTGGCTTTCTTTGAACTTTAGACACTAGGGAGGCAAGAGGGAAATACAGACCCCAAATATCTAAAGACAGAATACATAAAGGAAGGAAAAACTCCCTCTCAAAAAACAAAATGAAAAACAAAGAGATAGGACAACTCCACCTCTGATTAAAAATAAATGCAAGGAAAGAGGTAGGGAGCAAAAGGGGGAATGTCAGGGATTCAGCCCCCTCTGTGTTCAGGGACCGCAGGTAGGAGTCACCCGGTCCTGGACCTCCCCCAAATCGCCTGCCTTCTAGCCCTCACCGCCCCAAGAACTTCCCTTCCCTGCCGCTCAGGCGGGATCTGCTCCCAGCTGCTTCCCTGCTCTGCCGGGCCTTTCCTTTCCTCTCCTACTTTCTTTTCTACTGGCATTAATTCCCCCTTTGCTGTTTTTCTACCCCTCTTCCCTCTTTTCTCTCACCCAGCTTTTCCATTCTTTCTCTCCCTTCATTGCCATTTCACTGGTTTCAGAACCATGTTCTTTCCCAGCCCTTCACCCTCCGTCTGCGCTTCCGCGTCTCTACAACCCTGCGGGTTCCAACCCCGCAATCCTGCACTTTGTGGTTGGCGGACCACTGTTCTCCCGCGAGTCCTGAAACATGCCCCTCCACCCTGCTTGCCCCCTTCGCACGTCCTCCTAGGCCATGGACCCTGACTAATGGCCGGTCCCTACTGTGTGTGGGGTGTTGTGTTTTTTTCTTGTCTCTCCCCAGCAGGGCACGGGGGTGTGAACCAGCTTGGGGGGGTGTTTGTGAACGGCCGGCCCCTGCCCGATGTAGTGAGGCAGCGCATCGTGGAGCTGGCCCACCAGGGTGTGCGGCCCTGCGACATCTCCCGGCAGCTGCGGGTCAGCCACGGCTGTGTCAGCAAAATCCTGGGCAGGTGAGGGCTTCTAAGCTACCCCTGGGAGATTCCCTGCCTCCTTCCCCCAACTGGCCCTGGGTCTCCAGACCGAAGACTTGGTTAAAAGTCGAGGACACCAGAGGGGCAGGGACGTGCCCGACTTGGGTATCTGAAGAGCTGCTCCTTTTGGAGAGGGCACTCAGGTGGTGGCCACTGCCCCACGAAGGAGAGTGGCACAGGGTCATCAGCGCCTGCCCAGCTCCAGAGTCCTGGCATGAAGGCAGCCCAATTCCCATCTTCAGAAAGGACGGGATGCCTCTTCTAACAGTTAATTTGGACCAAGAGAGTTGGAAGAATAGGGAGGGGAGTGAAAATGGGTCCCCAAAAGGAGAGAAATCAGCATGGGGGAGGAAAAAGAGGTGATTCTCAAAGGGGCTCTGCACTCAGTGGGAAAGGGCTGGAGGTGGCGCCTCAGCCCTGGTCTTCCTGGACGTCTGGAAGCACTATTCCTCCTGCTCTTCCCAAATGAAAGGCCAGGCTTTCCATCCTGGCAGTGCCTGTTCAGGCTGGTGGGCACGCAGTCCCCAGCATGACTGCCTCTCTGGAGGGAGCATACCTCTGTTGTCCTCCCCCTCAACCTTAGCTGTGTCCCTTACCCTAGTCAAGCACCCTCGGGAAGCCCGCTCAGCCACTCCGGGCCATTTCCCTCCAGCCACTGCCTCGGGCGGGAGTGTGGCTCAGCAGCTCCGAAGCCTTTAGCCCCCCTGCCCCTGCCACAGCTTCTCGCTGACCCCGCCGGCCTTCCCGGCGCAGGTACTATGAGACTGGCAGCATCAAGCCCGGAGTCATCGGTGGCTCCAAGCCCAAAGTGGCAACGCCCAAAGTCGTGGACAAGATTGCTGAATACAAACGACAGAACCCGACTATGTTCGCCTGGGAGATCCGAGACCGGCTCCTGGCTGAGGGCATCTGCGACAACGATACAGTGCCCAGTGTCTCTTCCATCAACAGGTGAGCAAGCCACCTGGGCTGCAGGGCAGGACTTCACCTTCCAGCTCTAGGCTAGCAGAGCATTAGCCAGCACCTGGTCTCTGTTTTCTCCAGCCTCTGCCCTTGCTTTGTGCTTCCAGCCCTGAAGTCCTTTGGCCAAGGAGAGGGGTACTGGGAGGCAGAGAGATAGACAGACAGACAGGGCTGGGTCTCTCCGGGCTGGGTATTCCCTGCCAGGCTTCTCCCGCCTGCATCCTGGAAATGAATCCAAGTGTTCGTGGTAATTAAGACTCCAAGATTATGTGCTTTGGTATCTAGAGACAATCACAGCCCACAGCCAAAGGCTTTAAAATGACCAGTGTCTATTCATCGCCTCCAAACCGACTTTCCTTTCTAAAGGCATGCTCCCTTCCCCAGGGGCAGCCGCCTGTCCTGGCTTCCTTGCCCTCCCTGCCAACTCCCACAAAGCTTGCCTCCCAGGAGCCCAGATCTTGCAAGCTAGCTCTGCACAAATTTCCAGCCTACAAGCATGAGTCTCCAGGCCTGCAGAGCAAAAAACACCAACCATCAGCCAGCAGTTGGCAGGGAGTAGAGGAGTTGGACAAGGAGCAGGAGGCCAGTCAGGGAGGGAGGATTCTGGACCCAGAGGCTGAACTTTAGGAGATGCCTCTAACCACGGAAGGTGCCTATGTCCAGGCCTAAGTCTGTACTGATGACAGGCTCAGGCACATGAGGATGTCACAGGCTGGAGTGAGCTCCACATATAGTAGCACAAGTACTTAGTCTCCCAATACGCAAGCTACTCCAGCATGCTCTCTGCGGGGAGAAGAGGCGCACACTCCATGTATGTACACTTCAGTGTGCAAATGTGCCTATCTTTGCTAGATATAGCATGTAAAAACAATAGTTGGGCAAAGGAACTCAGGATGGCTTTAACATCACAGAACTGCACTACCTGAGTACCTATCAACAGAGACTCTGTACCAACTCCAGACAGCCTTGGCCAGCCTTTCAACCCCTGCCCCCTATTTTAAGTCAAATCCCCAAATGAAAAGAAGGCTGAGGGTTTCATATCCTTGTTATTCTTTGTACTCCTCATGGGCTCATTATCAGGACAACTAATAATTCAGATGGTGCCTTTTCCTGAAACTGGCATCACGTATCAAGGTTTTTTAAAATATTTTGCAAATGATATGGAATTATCCCAAATCATCCTGAAAACAGCAGGTAAAATTAGCTGGTAGAATGTACCTTGGCTAAAGAAGATTCCCTCTGCCACACTCATGCTGTAACGTACTGCGAGGCGACCCCAGAAATTATCCCAGTGTGTGCCATCTGTATTAAAATGGTTATTCAGTTATGAACAGGGTAACATAATACTGATCAGCTAATTATACACCCTCCGAAAAACCTCCAGCTCCCTGGGCCTGGCTCAGCTAGGTATGGAAAGCACAGAGGTTTGACATTCAGACACTTTCCAAAGGAGCTGGAGAACAATGGGGGGTGGCTTGGAAGAGGAATGAGTCTTTTGCATTTAAAACCAGAGGAGGAGGCTGGAGCAGGAGTGGCAGTTAGGGAAGGGAAGGGGACAAAGCATAGCCATTCTAGAGACTTAGCCTCTTGGCTGGCTGCTGGTTCTGGGAATGAGTTGGAACTGAGGTCTTGGGAGGAGAGCAGCCCTGCTGAGACCCAGTGTTGCTGGGACTGGGTGCTGGTATTTTGGAGAACATTCGAGAGAAATGCTTGTTTTCAGTGATAGGGTTTGCAAGACTTTGGAGGAACTCAAACATGTACAGTTAAGGCAATTTGCTTCCTTGATGGGGGGAGGATTGGGGCAATCAGGGAAGGTGCGGTAGGAGCACTCCTTGTCTACCACCCTGTCTAGCACCCCTTTCTCCCATCTCCCCAACATATACCCTTTATTGGCTGAGATTTGGGAAACTGAATTATGCAAAAGTTTGGGTATTCTCTCATCCTGAAAAGACATGGAGAGCAAGGGACAGGTGACCCCAGGGTGAACCTCCAGAGGGCCTTGATGCACCCACCAGAACTGGGGGAAAGTAGAGGAGTGAGCTCAAGTGGGATGAAAGTGGGAGAAAGAACGGCCTCAGCTTGACAGCCCTGACAAGTGCAGAATCTGCTCAGTGAGGAGCCCTGTCACCTAAGAGGCACAGAGGCTTCCTTTGAGTGTGGAGAAGTAGCCATCTGTGGGCAGGTGTTGCTGGAGAGGGAGTAGGAGGAGAGCAATGGGGAAATCACTGACAGCATGGGCAGCCAGCCTGGGTCCACAGGCTTCCTGGTTTGCTTCATCAAAAAGCCAGGGTATTTTCAATTTTGCTTTGGGACAGAGTACTACTACCACGGTTCATATTTTGGAAAGAATTCTGGGGGAGTCCCAGTGTGCTGCTGAGTTGGGGCTGGAGAGATGCGTCTGGGCCCTGCCCTTAGCTTCAATGCCTAAAGGTGCTTTGCTCTGAAAGGGGAACGTTTGTCGAGATGTGTTGTTTTACCCTAAAACCTGATAAAGATGGGATGTTTCTGCTGGCCCTGGTGATGTCATGACCTTTGCAAATTCTCACTTGCTGTAGGAAAAGTCTGGAGATTTTCCTCCATGCGGAAAGTATGGTGCATTGGGAATGGGTGGTCTTTGAGTTTAGAGCTTTACTGTTGGTGAAGTGCCTGTTTGTATTGGGTACTTTGTAACCATTATGAGTAAGGATGTGCATGTGCCGGGAGTTGGCAAGAAAGGAAGTCCACACATGCTCACTCACCTGAGCCAAATTGTAAGGGCTTTCATCTTCTCCCCAAAACAGATGCTGTCGCTGCACTTGAAATATGCTGTTATGGTTATAAACTAAATTGCTTTTCATGCTTTAAAATTGCTTTTGGCTTTCTCTGATCCCTGTCGCGATAAAGGCTTGAACATCTAACCCACATTCTCCATTGGCAGGTCCTCATAGAACTACCTCTCTGAGCCAACGGAGTAAGTCAGGGAGGCCTTCCACCCCCAGCCCCACACCCAGAGAACATTGTCAAAAATCCTGAGGGTTGAGTGGATTGCTTAGCATGTGGAATTTATCTGAATCATTCTCAATATTGGGTTAATGATCATTAAGCACAGAGTCGCCAACTCTTCAGCTTGTACACTGCTGCTGTAGAGGGCAGATGTTTATAAACAGGTAATTTGAGATTAAAACCTGGTATGGGAGATGGTGTGGAGGTGGGAAGAAATGAAAAGAGATCCATGCTACTGCAAGGGAAAAAGTCACCCAGTTACATTGCTGAGCAATTGTCTAGGCCAGAATGATTTTCCTGATTATATGCTAAAGTCTTTAGGTTTGGCTGTTGCTCTGGGCAGAGACTATAGCTCCTGTGAAAAAACAGGCACAAAATCCAGGTAGGGACTAGGGTTACTGAAGATCCCCTGAGGGTGCTTTCTTGGAATGAGCTGACACAAAGGCCATGGCTCTTACCTTTTTCAGTCTACCCTACACTCCCTGGGATCGGGGTCCTCCCTGCCCCTAGGTCTTTAGAGTGGACACTTCCAATTTCTCACTGATCATCTGCTACCCGCACTCTCTCTTGGCCTGTTCCACTCTTAAGTGAACACTTTCATTCTCTTAGCAGTGGCAACACTGGCTTCAAGAAGGTTACAACCCCAGTGCTGTTGAAGAATTCCATCCCTTGTCACTTGCAGGTCTTCCTCAGAGATCTGGCAGTGGGCTGACAGTGGTCCACCAGCTGTTCACTCAAAGACCTTTCCAAATAAGCCACTCATCCAAGCCAAGGGAATGCTGAAGCAGGGCTGAGTTTCTGAAACTCAGGTTCTAGAACATTGCACACTTGACTCTTGGACCTGGCTTGGCATGAAGCTGGGCTAGAGGGACAGCTTTGCCTGCTACATCTTCAAACCTTTGCAGCTGTTTAGTGGTCAGGGCTGTTGACCTCAAAGAGCCAAGGCAACTGGGTGGACTAAGAAGACTTCTCACAGAGGATTGGAGAAATAAGGAGAGAACTTGCCTTCTGTTCTTCTGAACCCGAACCTACCAAACTAGACCACAGATAGCAAATAAACATGCCAATTTCCTTCTGAGAAGCCTTGTTCACCTGTCCTTCCCCGGAGAGGGTCCTCTGCTGTTGAGGTTGCCCATCATAGAATAATACATGAAATAGACATGACTGTGGGTCTCCTTACTCCTTAAAATGAGCTGGAGTTGTCTCCAGAAAAGCCATTTTTGTTCCCTCCATTATTTAGACTTCTTGGCCAGCAGCTGCATCGATCTGTTTCCTGTTGGCTGGCTCAGAGTGGGCATTCAGACCACAGAATGGCTTTCAGGTGAGAGCAATGGCTGGCTGCCCCGAGTTCTTACCTTAGCTGGCACCTCTTGATAAGAGAAAGACAGGAGGGGCTGTCCCTAATGAAAACTCCAGGTGGGTTTTGGAGGGGGATACAAAGAAGAATAGTGAGGGAAACCCCTCATAAATAAATAAATTGTATCCCAACTGTTCTGAGAACTCAATAAAACAATCACATCAAATATGAAGAGGCATAAATCTTGTGTCTGCACAGGTAACCTACTCGATTGCTTTTATTATCGTTCAGGCTGCCTCCATTTATTACCGTCCACAGCAAAGGTTGCGTGGAGGGTGGTCTCCAGTGCAATCCTACACCCCAAGAGGCAACAATCAGCCCATACAGCCAGGGATTTCGATGGTTCCTTGGGAAGGGCCCATCTGTCTGCATGAAAACCAATCAATAACCCTGTAACCAGAGCCCTTGTCACAGGGAAATGGACAACACAACAGTTCAATACAGGGGCCACGGGGGGAATTAGCCAAGTAGAAAGGGGGGCATGCAGGAGTAGCCCCTGGAGAAGGGGAAACGGGGTGCCTGGAGAAGGGAATTTGGGGGAGGATGTAGGATGTGGCAGGGGAGAGAATGGCATTGTGTACATACTGGCACAAGGGGGAATTATTGGGTAAAGCAGATCCAGGGGATGAGAGGCCCTGTTGCAAGTTGG